GCACGTAGTCTGCCAGAGTTGCAGAGCGGGTGGGGGGTGATGCTCCAGCATGAGGAAGTTTGGCTTAAAGACACATCCCAGAGGAGGAGCTTGTCCCAAAAGGACACAACCCAGAGGTGTTTTTGGTCCCAAAAATGCATTTCTGGTCCCCACCTGTCGTTTTGCTCCTCAGCATGGCTGCCTAAAAACACTGCAGGATTTCTCAAACGTGCATGAATGAGTCAGAGCAAGGCTTTGGGCATGGTTTTTATGAGAGTATAACATTATAACATGATATAAAACTCAAAAAAGTTGATTTTACATGATATTGCCCCTTTAATCAAGTTTCTGTTAGACTTTTGGTTTGTTTGCTCATTTTCAAAGGTCAGAGGAAAATCACCTTTACATGGAGTTCAAGGCTTTTTTATATAATTTTTATAAATTGATATCATGTCATAAATTGACAGGGACTGAAATTGTAAAACTGCGTATTTAATTAAATAAAAAATTTCCCACTGAAGTGTTTGGATTAACCATTGTTCCACTTAAAACTTTTTTTTTTCACAGTAAAATTTCCAAGGCCAAACTTAAACGGGTGACTTATTAAACAGCCTCTGTTTTATTAAAGCTGACGAATAAATCAACAAAGTCTCATCATTTTTCAGGCAATCGATCTTTCACTTAAAGTCAGCCCGATTTCTTTCTGCCACTGTTCTCAGACAGAGTGTAAAAATAAAGCTGCTGCTGCTGAAATCAAATAACCCAGAATCAGATGGACTGGCAGCTGTTCAAACTCTGTGAGCAAACATCAAAATAGAAATAAGATGCTGCAGTTCTGTCAGTGACTTCTGAGACAAAAGGGAATATATTTGAGACCAAAAAGTGACAGTTAACTCAATAAACCTACACAACGCAGCGGCAAGTCTCTGGGGCGTTGCATAAGATAGGTGTTGCATAAATAAGTTAGTTTTAGGGGTTTGCAGCTCATCTTTGTGTATAAACTTCTTGAGCCTTTTTGCAAAACAGTATTATTTTTTAAACTGTTTTAATAAGCTATTTTATTTGAAGTAAGTGTTCAAATGCTGCCCTAATTTTTTTGTTATAGAAGTCTGTCTTTCTTATGTCCTCAAGTGAAATATCCGTTTATTTACAAAAAATATATATAATTTTTTTGATAACTCAATAATTTGTCAGACACACTTCACACATGTAAACATTTCGTCTGACCTGTTCTGACTGTCTTCTCTGGTTTCTTTTCAGGTGCAAGTGTAACCTCCATGCCTCCCAGTGCCTGCTGATTGACGGGAACCTCCAGTGCCAGTGTGAACACAACACCACCGGCCAAGACTGTCAGCGATGTAAGAAAGGCTTCAAAGCAAAGTCCTGGAAAGCAGGGTCCTACCTGCCTCCTCCCAACGGGACTCCCAACACCTGTGAGTTACCTGCTTTTGCTCTGTGTGTGTGTGTGTGTTCGTGTGTGTGAGTCACTCAAAGAATGACATCTGGTGGATTTGTCTGGACACTTCACATAGCAAAATGTGTCTGACCCACACAATAAAACACTCAGTAAAGATACCACAAAGAATGATGGCCCTTTGGTGGCCCGGATGCAGTTTGCCAGAGTTGGTTCACCCCATAAACCAGAGCTATTCAACTAAACTGCTCCGGGGGCCACAGTTTCTGCAGGCCAACAGCTGAGGGGCCGAACATCCAGCAATTAAAGTCCTCATGTAAATAAACCAATTATTACAAAGATCTGTTACGTTTGAAATAGTTTATTTTGCTGCATTTAATCACAAATACAACATACAGAACCCTAAAAAGTAGTGATAATTAAACAATCTTAAAAAACAAAAATAAAACATCATGCCTCCTGTTTGACACAAATATCATTTTAACATCTCTGACTTGCCAAATTTTTAAACCAATTTTATTTTCACTTTCATAATTTTATATTCAACTGCTTGTAGTTTTAACTGACTTGAGTGTGCATAGAAATGTTTTTTTTGTTACCAGATTCTAGTCAAGATTCTGATGTTTCTGTAGATATCAAACATGTCTATGTTTAACTAAAATACCTTATAGTAACCAAAGTAGAAAACCAGGGGTTTGGGCTTAAGAGATGAATGAACCAATTGGCGGGCCAAACCTTGGTCACTCGCGGGCCACATGCCGCCAGTTGAATAGCCCTGCCATAAACCAAACCACAACTATCATGGCATGCCATCTTAAAAACAGTGCCAGACCTGGCCCACATCTGGTCGACAAACTACTTGCCATGCCAGCAGTGCCAGGCTGAAACCAGATGTGGCCCACACCTGTTTGTTATATTATATTATTGGCAGACATGCTGACTCAGAGCTCTGTTTACAATTCTCCAGAATCCTACATTTCTTTATATCATTGCCACAACTTTAAAGCAATGTTTCAGTCCTTTTATCTAAACGTTTCTGACACGCTTTCACTCTTTTAATAAATTTATGAGTAACGTTTTACAGATTGATGAATGTAGAGGTTTCAAAGTGACTCAAAGGTTCAGAATGAAAAGTAGGACCAAAAGGACAAAGTTTAAAAGAAAGAATGAGTTGAAAGATAATGCAGATGCTGAGATGTTAAGACCTCAGTGCTGGTCAGAGTTGGGTAACAGTGTAGGAATATATATGAAGGGAATCCTGTTGTAGAGATTAACCAGTCACAGCTGCTCTCTGATAAAATAATAATCTGGGACAGCCCCTCCCTTTGTTTTTCTTTCACACTGCTCAACGTGTTTGCAGTCGCTACAGGAAGAACAACGGCACACCCTTCTACCTGTACCTACACTGCTAAGAATGGCTCTGTTTTGAGCTTGTGTGTGTGTACGTGTGTGTGAGTGAGAGTGTGCGATCCTGTTGTTCGACTTATAATGGCACCGACACACGCCTTCAGACCCCATCACCAGCCTTTTAAATCTCCTGAATCCCATTAGTGGCATTTAAAAATTAAAGTGTTTTGCAGTCGGCGCTTGGTTGAAACGCTACACAAAAATGGTCATGGCTTGGCCCAAGCTTTACAGATTGCATTTTGCATGCCAAGCAAGTCTAACATTAAGTCTCCCCTCCCAAAAAAAAAGTACAAGAAAAGCAAATAAACAACAACTTTTGATCTGAGCAAAGCAAAAGAAGGCAGCACTTAAAGCATATGTGGGAGGGTTTGTTAAGGTTAAAAAGGAGTAAAATAAAGGTGGACGGGGGTATCTTGTTAGTACTTTGGGATGTTGAGAGGTGGGTCACAGCAGCCCCTTATTTTCCCAAACAGCTCTTTCAGCCACTTGAGTCTGATGAATGAGGCAGAGTCAAGTCTTTAGGCAAATTGAATGCATAAATAAACAAGCTCTCATCTCCTCTTCCCTTTCTTCTTCTCTTTCAGGTACAATTGCTGGTTCCCCCTCCGGTTCCAGTAAGTAATAATGCAAAGCGAAGCTGAACCTGGTATTCCTTCATATTTTTTTCTTCCCAGTTAGTTACATTTTTATTTTTCCCTTTTTGAAATTTAAGTTTCAGCCATCCGTTTGTCCCCTAAACTCCTCCCCCTCTCCCCTGTGATGTTCAGCTGGCTCTCTAGTCACTCATTTCTTTTCCTTCACATCTTCCCTCTCAGCGCGGCAGCTCGAGCCCCTCCGTGCTTCATTATTAATAGATCTCTCTGTCGCTGTGTCCTTTCATCACAGCACATCACACTAACCTGCACAGGAGGAATTCTTCCACAATCCTGCTTCTTTATATTTAGAGGAACGACAGCGCTGATGATGGATTGAGGGATGGGGGGGGAGGTGGAAGGGTGGGGGCGCGCGACGGAGCAGCAAACAGAGTCGAGGAGGAGCAGAGAGAGCAATTGGAGAGAAGGATGTGGGCATATGTTAGCGCGTTGTAATGCAGTGTGATTCTGGGTGAAGAGCGAGGGAAGACAAGAATAAAAGGGAATTTGATTAGGGATTCTCTCTGTGGAGAGGCTCTCAGCCTCCGAGCTGTTAGACAGAAACGATCGGCAAAGTGGCAACATCTACTCTGACAGCACTGGGGCTTTTCTCCACATGGCCAAACAGTAAAAGGCTGAAGGGTGGACGAACAGACTGAACAATTGGACATCACTGCAAGAGGGGTGGGGCTGCTTTTAACAGGGATTCATCTGGTAATTAAACATGACTGTGTGGTTATTTGGATGGATAATGGTTTTATCGAAGATGGTGATTACAGCTTCTGTGGTCAGATTTCTGTGTCCCATAATTTTCTCACATTCAGTTGGAGGAATGCCTTTAGCCTGCCGCCTTTCATGACAAAGTTTTAGACAGAGATCAATTTACAAAGAGAAATAACAGAGTTGACTTGACATGTGTAATCTCATATTATGAGATGTCACCCTCAGTGTATAACTCTCAGCTACTACCACATCAAATTTTAGCTCAGTATCTGGAAAATTTATTGAGTTGTAGCTGTTGTTGTTTTGGCTAATATTAATAATTTGTGGCATCAATTTAAATTGTGTTGACTGAAAGAGTTTATTTTGTAGATTTACATCATCTGTCTGGTGGTTCATGAGATATTTTGCTAACAGACAGCGTTGACTCCAATTCTTACTGCTTAGATCTTGCACAATGAGTTAGAGTGGGTGATGTGCATGACTCTCAGGTACAAAAACACATAATTTTAGCACAATATTTGTAAAATTGACTGAGTTAGAGTCAAGTTTTGTTTTTGTTTTTTTTTCCCCTAAAGTCAGTTTGCTGTGGTAGCCATCTTGAACTGGGTTGATTCCAAAAGTTATTCAGTTCTGTATGTACACGCAATGATTACCTTTTGAGTTTCAACAAAATCTGTTCATTGGCAGATCAGATATCAGGCATCTTGGTAGCAGACAGAAACATACAAACACACGCACATGTTGTTTTTTCTATCCTCGTGGGGACTTTGTATTGACTTCCATTTGTTTTTCAGTCCTTTCTATGGCCTAACCCTTTACCCTAAAACTAACCATCTCAATTTATACCTGACCCTAAATCCAGCCTAAACTCAATTCACACCTTGGTTCTAAACCTAACCCCCCCTCCCCAGCATCTGTACTAGTGGGGACCATGCTCTGGTCCCCATGCGGAGCATTGGGTCCCCATAAGGCTGTGTTTTTCTGGAAAATGGTCCAAAACATGTAGCCAAAATGTGTCCACACACACACGCAATGCCATTGACAGCCACCCTCATTTACACAAGTACATTCATTTGACAGCTGTAATTAAACACTGAAAAAATGATCCTAACAACAAACTATTTTCTGTCACCAAATCCTGAAACAAAGTGAAGCCACCTTTGCATGAAGGTCACACAAAAGGAAGCAAACTCTTTCCAACCACAAAATGCTGCAGGCTACTTTTTTTTTTATTCCCTTACTTCAAAATGTTCGCCCTTATTTTTTTTTCAATATTCCTTTAAAAAATACTTCAGTATTTTGGGAAACGTACTTCTTTCAGTCAGAGAGCTGGAGGAGATGATTGACAGCTCTCTCATGTCTGCCTCTCAGATAAGATGTTGCAGACAGCAGCTGTTTAGCTCACCATAGTACACGGGGACTGGAGAGAACAGAAAACAGCTATTCTGGACTAAAGCTTACATCATAAATAACTTGCATCTTTCTTAGCTTTGTTTTCCATACCAACAAAATACAGTGAAAATCATACCTATAAGTGTTTTATGTAAAAATAACATTGTAGGAATTTGGATTTAGTACGATATGAAACAAAGTGGGAGGGTTTAGTTAAATGAAGATAATAAATTGTATGAGTGAGACTTTGGATGGAGTTAAAGACAAGGAAGTTGAATAACAGTTTTTTGGATTTTTTGGATTACAGTTTTTTTTCTATTGTGCATGTGTCCTGAAAGGTGCTTTATAAATAAAATGCATTATTATTATTATTATTATTATTATTA